CAAATAAGAAATGTTTCATGGTTTACTGCCTTATCTATAAACGATGTCAATGATTTTTATGGTCCAATGGATGTTTTATCTTGATGCAACAGAAGACAGCTTGAACTCAATTTTAAAGTCTTAAAGGACATTAGAATTCAGCTAGTTCAACTACAACTAACTAAATTTACAGATAAGAAAACTGAGTTCCAAAGTTAAGGGACTAACTAACTGGTGAGGACACCACCATTAGGCTTCATGTCCCTAGGGCTCTGACCACTTTTCCATCCAGTGGTTTTCAATGATTTGATGTTTACCTGAGGGATCACTAGACAACAGGAAGTCTTATTACCTTCTGGTTTTAGCATGTCTTTTAGTCTTGTTAAAATTTTGCTATCATTATTTTATTATTCATAAGGAATATTTCTATGATTTAAACCAGGTCTGCTTCAAACATGCAAGAGGAAGAAATCCTGATTTATCAACTTCAACTTAATAGCTGATTGACTCAGGCTTTGTACTTCCTAGTTCATAAGGCACAAATAAAAATATTTAAGAGCTATGAATGTATTTTCAGAGTCCTGGTGTGGCACTGTGGGTTAATGTGCTATATTGCAAAGTCAGTTTGAACCACAAGGTAGTTAGCTCAAGCTCACCAGCCACTCCTTGGGAACCCTATACAGGGTCGCTATGGATCAGAACTAACTTGATGGCACTTAACAACAGCAGTGTATTTTCAAACACAACATATAATAACAGTTATATCATTATTAAATTGAAGCAAAAGTAATCAGAAAATTGGTGTTTTTTTCAATTAAACTTAAATTATTTATAAGTTCCATTTTTAGTTATTATTCCTTTTCTTTCTATTCACTATGGCAATTCATAAAATGAACTCATGAAAAGTAATGGTAATTGTTAAAATATATTCATATGTTAACTTTTATTCTGCTTTATGGACTAGTTTCAGTTAGAACAATTCCCTGAAGACATAAACTAAATAAATATTTTCTGCAAATATTACAAATCAATTTAAGTATCAAATTAAAGCCTGTATGTTTATTAAAAACAAGATTATTTAAGGTCACTTATAAAATTAAAATATAGTATACGCTACATAGAGAACAAAGTAAAAATTACCTTGCACATAATGTTTTCATTAGAATTAATAATGATATTCTAAGAATATACTTGTGTGTATGCTGTGTGCATAGGCTCACTATGAGTTGGAATTGGCTCAACAGCACCAAGCAACATTCTGGCTGACTATCTAGATGACTTACACACTGGATTAGTGTGAAATGCAAGCCTCTAACATCTAGTTTCCTTTTGTTGTTGTTGTTGTTGTTGTTGTGAAGTGCGATCGAGTCAGTTCCAACCCATAGTGACCCTGTGTAGGGTTTCCAAGGAGCAGCTGGTGAGCTTGAACCACCAACCTTGTAGTTCAAACGACTTTGCAGTCTGACACATTAACCCACAACTCCACACCAGGACTCCTTATAAGCTCTGGAAATATAAATTTGAATAAAATAAACAAAAATAAGAAATATTCATATGCAGTGTTGTTGTTAAGTGCCTCTATAGGGTTTCCAAGTTTAAATCTTTGAGGGAACACAAAGACTCTTCTTGCTCCCGCAGAAGAGCTGGTGAGATAGAAGCTTGTGTTTCACTGTGTAGTGCTTATTGTGTGGAGCCATTGTGCTCCTTGCAGTGAAGGTGGATGTGTGCAATCAAGACACATTTGTCCTCCTGTATGTTGTTAATAAGGAGCTCTGGTAGTTTAGTGGTTATGAGTCAGGGTGCTAATCTCATGATCAACAGTTTGAAACTACTAGAGGTTATGTGGGAGGAGGCTTTACAGTTTCAGAAATCCTATACAGGGTTGCTATGAGTCCGAACTGACTCCACAGCATACCACCACCATCACCATGCTATTTACAGTTAAGATTGTGACCACTTGAGTCAATGCATGGTTATAGTTCTTTCATTCAAATGGAGGGCATTATTCAAAAGCATAGATAATGGAGAACATGATGAACATAAAGAAATCAAAATGATAGAAGAATTTCTGACATTCCTTGAGTTCCAAATTTGTGTATATTTTCTCTCATCAATGTTTTAGATAGCCTACACTTTCTAAGAAAAATTCATGATCCAAAAAAAAATCCACCTCTATCTTAATTATAGGAGTCCAGGTGTGGTGCTGCTGGATAATGCACTGGACTGCAAGGTAGGTTTGAAACATAAGGTCAGAAGTTCAAACACACCAGCTGCTCCTCAGAAACCCTACACATAGGGTGGCTATAAGTCATAACCGACTTGCAGGCACTTAACAACAGCAACAATGGTAATTATCAATACATGTATGGTACCGTTTCAGATGGCATAAAAAATATTACTGAAATAAACTTATGGAGAGATGATATGTGAAAATTTGTGTATATGTATGTGTGTGTGTCTATGTGTGCTAATGCTTGAAAAATAAGAAAGCAACTAGATACTTCTTCACTTCTTTGAACTTATTAGAAAACCAGAGAACTCTCATAAACAAAATTTTACTTTTTACATTATAATGTTATTTCCAAAACAATAAAATATGGCCCTGATTCAGAATATCCAGAGGCCAACTGTATAAGCTATCACTGCTTTTGAAAATACTTTCCTGATTAAAGTCACCAAAGCCCAAATTTTTATAAACATTCATTTTATCCAAATTTGATGCCATGTTTGCTTCAATTAAAAACTGACATAAACTTTTCATTGAACAAATAAAGCTGGTAAGACAGGAAATGCAAATGTTGCTGAAGTTTTGCCAAGTGGTTGGCTTGGTTACCCATGAATTCAGCATTAGGTGCCATACTTCCTCTTTTTTATGGGCACATGTCATTCCTATAATTTAATAAAATGTTATTATAATTAATTTCTATTCCATACTGTAGTGACTCATAGTATAAAAAAAGCTGTTTGAAACATATTTCTTTTGGTTAAATCTAAGACTTAATTACAAAAAATAAAATTCAATGTATATTCTAAATTGTGTATTAAGAGTTTCCTTAAAGAGTATGATAGAAAGTACAATAAAAATCAAAGAATTGATGTAACACCTTGGGCAAGTTACTTTAGTCTCAGTCTTCTTGTCTGTAAAGTTATTAAACTAAACAAGATAATCTGAAAGGACCATTTCTGCCCCTAAAATCCACCCTTACACCTATATACACATTCTGGGATATCATACTCCAGAATTAATTGAAATATCATTAAAAAAAAAAAAAAAAGCTAATGACATCTCAGATATGTAAGAACTGACACTATTATTTGAATTTCCAGTTTGCTTGATCAGAGACATTTACATTTATATACATTACAAAACATCACATTTAATTGACCAAAGGAGCTCTGGTAGCTTAGTGGTTATGAGTGGGCTGCTAACCTCAAGGTCAGCAGTTGGAAACTACCAGCTGCTCTGCAGGAGAAAGATGAGGCTTTCTGCTCCTATAAAGAATTACAGCCTTGGAAACCATATGTAGGGTCACTATGAGTCAGAACCGACTCCGTGGCACCTAATACCATACTCAAATACCATTACCTAAGATAAAATCCATTGTTTGGTTTGGTTGGGATGAATTCAGACTTCCAGGATTATCTTTTCTAAAAGAAAATTCTAAGTTCCTTGATGGCCAAAGCTTTGCCTTTCTTAATCACTGTTGTTACCCTTAACCTTTGAAATAGTACTCAGGGTAGGGTTACAACAAATATTTATTGGATGAATGCTATCAATATGGATGTAAAATTTGACGTGATTTTTACAATTATTTTCTCCTCTTATTGGAAAAAACGACATTTGTAACAAATTTTAGACTGAAGATATTAATTTTCCTATTCCTAGAAATTAAAAAGTAAAATAATTAATTATAAATTTCATATATAAATTATGCAAGGTGTTTATCTGTCTTAAAGACTAAAATATTTTTGAAATCTTAATGAAATACCAGTTTGAGGTCTTTGCCCACATTTTTAAAATAACATTATTTTTCCCCCAGTGGCAAAATTTAGGTTTTCTTTCTATTGCTATTCTGATTGTATATTTAAAAAAATGGATTTTATAACTTGCTACAATTAGTCTACTATGTACACAGGTATATTCATTCTCCACACCAAAAGAAGTCTATACAATCATTTATCTATTTGTTCTATTTCTGAAATATGGCATCTATTTCTGTTTATACAAGAGAAATATCCAAAATGTCCAAAGAAGTTTTGTAATTGGTAGAGTAAAAATATTTGAAATGTAGAACTATATATATCAAACACCAAGAAACAGGAGAACTGGATTAACCCCAAGAGAGGAAGATAACAAAGCAATGGGAAATACATAGTGTAGTACTTCTGGCATACAGGCATGAAGTAGATTCAAAACACTGATGCTATTTTTAAAAACCTACCTTGTTGATTGGCCCTAGTCCTTGACAACACTTTTTTAAAAACACAATATTCCTAAAATATATAAGAACTATGGTTCTACTTTAATCAGACATTTAAAAATATATCCCAAACTAAATTTTATTATTAACAAACTTACATAATAACAACAAAAAAAGACAGACAAGCTTAAACTATGAATCAATATAAGAAAAAACAGTCTCTAAGATAAAATTCCATTATACTACAAAGCACCTGAGAATTTTTATTTAATCAAATATAAAAATGATATTTATATATGTTCCCAGAAAGTCATTAAGATGAAACAAATGCTCATTAAAATAAAAAATAAAATAAAATAAAACTCTTCCACTGGAACCCAATTTTGTTATGTGAAAATGTTTGCATGCTGTCCTCATTTCAACAAATACTCTGAGGTGCTTTATTAAAGTTGGATATATTTATTGTGGAAGCACAACACAACTGGCTTTGGCACCTAAAAAGAAAAAGATCGTAACCAACATTTCTTTTTGTTATCCTTCACTTGGTGGCCTAACAAGCCTCTAGTAGCCACTTTTCTGTGAGGAGGAGGTGACTAGTACCTGTCATTCTCCGGAGACGCATGCTGGATTTGAATCCTGGGGCTAGGAGGTCGTCTCCTATCTAGGGAGGGGGACCATCTACCCCTGTTTGCCCAATGAACAAGACAGGAAAAAACAGGACATTTAGTAACTTCCAAAATAAAATATATGGAACAACAGGACTGGAAAAGCACCCCAAAAAGGCAAAGTGTAGATTTCTAATTCATATGTTCATCTTCACTTATAAAAGTGTTAGATAAATTATAATATTGCATGAAAACAAAACCTATAATTTAAAATACAGAGAAACAATTTAAGAAAATGCTTGGAATCTGTGTAATTTGGTTCTGCAAAAATGTCTTATATGTACGTATGTACTTACACACATGTATGCACATAATCTTAAGTTTAAAAAGATGTCTCCTTAAGGGTTTTATGTTTTTAAAATAGATATATTCAATGACTACTTGGTACCGTACCTTGGATTTACTGAGAGGGTGACAAAGGTGGGGTTTGTAAATTGAATACAAAGTAGGAAAAGAGTTAAATGGAAGAAATAAAAATGCACTTTAGTATAGAAACAATTCCATGAAAAAACAATTCATGGGAAAACTACCAGCTAACTCTTAACAATATTTCTTAGGAAAACTTCAGAGCAAATCATAAATTATATTAAAAAAAAAAACCAGTATAAAATATTGATGCATAAAACTGGGGAATATAAATAAATATGCTACTCTTTAACTAGAAAAATCTTTTATTTGGTTAAGCTTTCTTTTTTTGGTTACATTTCAGCATTTACAACAATATTTATTATATGATTGACAATTAAGTGAAAGTTTGAAACCTGGTCCATATTTTCTGTTAATCTATTTTCAGATTCTGAGTATAACTACAAATTAATGACATTTAAGTGAAAAAGTGAAGTCCAGGTGTGGATTAATGAGTGGGACTGCAAAGTCAGTTTGAACCTCAAAGCTGGCAGTTCAAGAGTACCAACAGGTCCTCAGAAACCCTATACTGGGTCACAGTGGGTCGTAATCAACTTGACAGCACTTAACAACAACAAAGTGAAAAAATGAAAATAGACAATAAAGGGCTGAACAGGCTAGCAATGGAAATTTTTATATATTTTTTTAGCAGGATAATTTCTCTGGGTATAGGCTTTCTCAAACACAACAACAAATAACTAAGTGGTTTTTAAGGACTTAGTCAGCCATAAGATTTTATAACTATCCAAAGGAGACTAGTCTTAACATTCTAATTTTTAAAAGCCATATTTTTTTTTTTGCCATTATAACTTGGCTAAGTGGATTTAATAGACAGTGACAATCAAAAGTTAGTCAAGAGCTATCAACATCTGACCAGGATATTCAAGGTCTGCAGGTATTCAACTCTCAAAGTCCCTTGCAATCCTATGCTTAAACAATCACAATTAGATAGGCAAACTCAACATGATTTGAGTTAGGCTTTGAGGTAGCCCAGAAGCAAATGAAGATACTCAGCAGCAGAATTTGGACAGAAGAGAAAACTGTGGCATGTACTCTTAAATGTGCAAACATCTTAACAAGATTAAAAATGTTTTGCATTAAGTTTAAATTTATAAAATGCTTAGTCAATACAATCAGAAATTTATTTTGCTTAAAAATTTTTCTTTTTATTTCACGTATTTTTGTTCTTCAGGTTAATAAAAAACAGTATTTCTAAAATAACTGGAAGCAATTATAACTTTAGTGTTATCTACATTGAGTTATACACAACTATGTTAATGCAGAAAATGTTATTTTAATACATAAAAACAGTTCTCATATGTTTGCCTTTGGAGTAATAAATGATAATAACCTGACAGGATTATAAATGACCTTGCTTCCTGAGGTAAAATTCCAGTCCTTGTGTTTATTTAAACAAACAAAAGTAAAGAAAGAAAATAAAAATGCTATAATTATGAAACATGCAGTTGAAGATATGAAGGAGAAAGGTGTACATTTAGAGACAGGCAATTGGCAATCCAAGCTATTAAAAGGTAATTTTGATTAAAAAATTATAATAGCATAATGAATGTTCATCTGTTGAAAGTCCTTCTCAATATGCTGATACATAAGGCCAGTATATGAAATATGTTCTCTTTCACTCTTATATACTGGGCACAATGAGAGCAGAACTAATTTATTCTCATTTTAACCCATAAAGAATATATGTTAGTTACATAAGTTTTAGTATCACATATTAGTAAGTGGTAAGTATATTAGCATATTGCATATGCTTTTTAAAATGTCTATAATTTTATCATTATTCATCTATCACATAGAATAGAGTGACCACAATCATAATTTCTATATAATCCCCATATTACTAAGAACTACAGAGATTGCACTTGCATTTTCATATCATAAACTAACATAATTAGTTATGCTATAGGTGCTATACTGATCATGAAGTTAAACTAACCATCCCATCTGGATTCTTCTTTTCAAACTTACCTGCCTGTAATTACATTAATTAGTTACATTATTAATGGTTAATTATCAGGCATTGTGTATTCATTAATTCAAGGACTTTTGTTGTTGAAAGTTTCACTTTGCTCAGCACAGAAAAAAACTTAAAAGTCAGTGATTGTGTTAATAGTCTATGAGTTCCCTACAGAAGAAAACTATATGTTTTTATTTTGCTTTGTTTTTGACAATTGTAATTATTATGACTTAAACAAAATAAGGAGTCCTGGTGTGAAGATGTGAATTACCAAGC